AGTTTAATATCACGATGCATTAAATCTCAATAAAATTATTTAAAAGTTAATAATCATTTAGGTAAAAATATATCTTTATCAATATCACAAGAACACACTAAATAATATAAAGGCCATAATTAAATATGTTTAACTTTTATTTTAAAAAATCACATTTAATGTAAAGAAAAAAGAAAGAAAAATTATTAATAAATATTATTTTTCCTCACAAACATCAATTGAGTTCTATTATTTTTATTTTATACTAATGAAGTCTTATTTTTAATAATTTATTTGAATAAAATCTTAAATTTCATAAATACTATATTTTATTATAATTTTATCATTCTATTTAACAAACAGTGACACCTTAAGGTTTCAAATAAAAAAAATTAATCTCAACTTATATCTTTAAAGATCGCTCGAATCTTAATTTACACCCTCAAAATTTAAAAATATTAATTTATATACTAAAAGATATAAATTTATTTCAATGTGTATCTAGAACTAACTGTCATCCATTTGCCGTTAAAAATATTTGGATTAATTATAAATTATACCTTCAAAGTTTAAATATTTTCACATTTATGACTTTAAAAAAATACATTAATTAATGCTCGTTAAAGAACTCTCAATTGTGTTATGTCGTGTCTAACATTAAACAAAAAATAACTATTTAATGAGTATTGTAGGTGAAAAAATAGGTATTTTAATTTTTTTTAAATAGTCTTATATGAATTGTCGCAAATGTGAACTAATATGACACAATGCAATTGATTNAAACAATAAGGAACCACTGACTTGTGGTTTTTTAAATAGATAGCAAACATTATTAAATAGTGAGATTTACTATTAAGTTTAATATCACGATGCATTAAATCTCAATAAAATTATTTAAAAGTTAATAATCATTTAGGTAAAAATATATCTTTATCAATATCACAAGAACACACTAAATAATATAAGGCCATAATTAAATATGTTTAACTTTTATTTTAAAAAATCACATTTAATGTAAAGAAAAAAGAAAGAAAAATTATTAATAAATATTATTTTTCCTCACAAACATCAATTGAGTTCTATTATTTTTATTTTATACCAATGACGTCTTATTTTTAATAATTTATTTTAATAAAATCTTAAATTTCATAAATACTATATTTTATTATAATTTTATCATTCTATTTAACAAACAGTGACACCTTAAGGTTTCAAATAAAAAAAATTAATCTCAACTTATATCTTTAAAGATCGCTCGAATCTTAATTTACACCCTCAAAATTTAAAAATATTAATTTATATACTAAAAGATATAAATTTATTTCAATGTGTATCTAGAACTAACTGTCATCCATTTGCCGTTAAAAATATTTGGATTAATTATAAATTATACCTTCAAAGTTTAAATATTTTCACATTTATGACTTTAAAAAAATACATTAATTAATGCTCGTTAAAGAACTCTCAATTGTGTTATGTCATGTCTAACATTAAACAAAAAATAACTATTTAATGAGTATTGTAGGTAAAAAATAGGTATTTTAATTTTTTTTAAATAGTATTATATGAATTGTTGCAAATGTGAACTAATATGACACAATGCAATTGACTCGGCAAAAAAATATTTTTAAATGTGATAAAAATATTGTTTTATTAATTCGAATAAGATACAAAAATAATAAGTTATGACACAAAATGACACGACACAAAAATGATACAATATAACAAAATTAAGAGGTATTTAATGATTATTAAAAGATGAAATTACTTTTGGACCATAAATATAAATTATTTAAGTTTGAAGGTGCAATTTACAATTAGCCTAAACTTTTTTAACAACAAAATGAACGGCAGTTAATTCTGGTGCACATTTAGGTATAAGTTAATATTTTTAAATTTTGAAAGTATAAATTAAAATTTGAATCATTTTTTGAGGTACAATTTGAGATTAGCCAAATAAAAATCTTAAGTCGGTAAATCGGAGAATAAGCAACTGTTATGAACTCGCGCATGTGCGATCGCCAGGAAGTAACCGGTTTTTAACTACAAATGCCAAAAGAACTCAAAAAGTCCCAAAAAAAGTTCATCTCTTCTCACTCTCTCTCTCTCTCTGCAAAATTATGTTTCATGTGTGATCTATCTGTAAAGAATTTAGGATGGAGAAGTTACCAACGGATCTTTGTCTGAAAGTTTTCCATTTGTTGGATCACGAGAATCTTGCAGCTGTTCAACAAGGTCAGTAGTATCATTATTCAAAGAACACCCTCCAATTATACATATTCTCAATGTTAGATTTGAAAATTTTGTATTTTGTTTGCTGAGATATTCAATTCATTATAAGATCTGAACTAGGTTTGTTGAATTCTCCTTCAATTATGCAACTTTGCTTGTTGAATTCTCCTTCAGTAATCATTATACATGATTAGTGAAACTGCCTTTTTGTCTAGGGTGTTGTGTTGTAAATTATTTTGTAAGAGGTTTTTTTTTTTGTTGATTCCTTTATAAACTTGACAAAATCTTAATTCTGGATTAACACAAAAATGAGGAAAATTAAATTCTACATGAAATCGAAACCAAATCTAACCTCGTAGCTTATAGCATCTCTAAGATTGACCTAAATTTTTACTCAATTAACATTTGAGTAAAATATTTGATTTGGTACAAAGGGGTCTAAAGGACAAATTCAAATTTCAAGGAGGATAAACTNATTTCGGTATGCGCCAAGCGAAGCCGGGTGTTGTAAATTGTTCTCAGTGAGAGTGTAATCTGATTCTTTGTCAATATGTAAGCTGTAATGTGGTATATATATGGCTAGTGCTGTGATATTTATTCGGGTTGAAGCCTGTTATTGTTCTTGTTATTTTTTTTTTTGAAATTCATTTATCTACTTTGTAACAAAATCAACTTGAAATATATTATTTAGAGAGGTCGTATCCAACATACAANAAAAAATTGGAGAATATTTTTGGGAATTTTTTTTACCCAAATTAAAATTTGGGTTTAAAAAAGGTAAGAGCTTGAGATGCTAGATCAATGTGTTGTGACCCAAATTGTTATCAGCACAATTATATGAATTTGGTCGAGTTGTAAAACTGGTTGATATCACGTCTTTTCTCCATTATCTTCAAGAAAAATATTTGGAGATCAGGATTGGGTGTATTTATTGACCTTCTTTCTGAATTTGTTACGACGAGGCGTCCATAAATTTTGCTAGATTTTAAAAAGATTGGGCTGTTATGTGGCACAACCCAAACTGTTTTAATCTGTTGGTCTTAGATTCTGCCTGTTTTTAAACCAAGATTTCTCATTAATGCTGGTCATTTGTTTTGTTCCAATGAGAAATTGAGATGAATATTGCTTGTATCTTCATTACAACAGTGTCAACATTCTACTAAACCATGTTATGTAAGGCCTTTGGTAAACGAACTCTTTTGACAAAATTCGTTGTTTGTGTATTGATTGCGTTTTAATGGTGGATATGGAATGAGTGACCATGCTGGTGTATGATTGGAGAAGGGAGTATGGAAGAAAGAGGAAGGGGCTGAAGTTTGACGACATGAGAATAAAAGTTAATATTAGATTTTGTGTGGCAATGGTCATATCGCCACATCAGTTTGTAAGCAAAGGTAGTGTTTTTAGGTTTTGTATAGAGCACTGTCATTATTTTAGTTAGTTCATGTACTAGTTGTATTCAGTTGTCCATATTTTTGTTCATTTGCTTGCGTTTTTCAAGGTCGTGTGTGTGTTGGAAACCCTAGGCTAGCACTTGTCCAAGTAGATCAAATCTGAAATCTTTTTGAAATCTCATTAGCTTTCTTCAAGAGGGGTTGGTTTCTTCTTTGATAGTTAACTCCCTAGTANCATTTTTCAAGGTCGTGTGTGTGTTGCAAACCCTAGGCTAGCACTTGTCCAAGTAGATCAAATCTGAAATCTTTTTGAAATCTCATTAGCTTTCTTCAAGAGGGGTTGGTTTCTTCTTTGATAGTTAACTCCCTAGTAGAGCACAAGCATCAGATAATTATCTAAGGTTTTCCCTCAATATATCTTGTTTTGGCCAATTATGAAAAAATAGGTTTATACTGTTATTTCAAAATGTATCAATGTCATTTCTCCAACTATTTTGACCTTCAAACTTTTGAATCTAAATCTGATTGCACATTTGTTTCGGCTCTTTCCCCTAGTTTCTCTTATAATGTCTATTATCCAAAAGCATGTGTTGGTTTAAATTATACTCTTTAACTTAATGGATCCACATCTTTCCCCTTTTGCTTACCTTTGTGCTTTATTGCCTTGATGATGAACATGTCAGTTGTGGGTGTTTGTCAAAGTGTGCAGGAAGTGGAAAATCTTGACCTCAGACAACAATTTATGGTTTAACTTATTTGAAGAAAGATGGGGCATACATTGTGCCACATTTTATGTCCCCATAGATTCGAAGTCATGGAAAGAAGTGTATGCAGTACAAGATCGTTGTGATCGAATTGGATTGTAAGTGAATTTATTTGCAGCTATTTTTCATTTCCAAGTTTTGCATCTTTTTATGGTCCAGTGAAACAGAGAAGACAATTGGGAATAAACCTTTTCCCTCCCACTAACCCGACCTACCCCATGGCCCCTGCTAGGGCTCAAACCATGCTTAGTAGGAGGAGAAGTTTTTTTTTTTGTCACTTTGAAATTGTGTTCTCAATAGAAATCATTTGTTCAATAAAAAGAACTAGCCTTGTGACTCCAGGGGGCTGAAGATAGTAAGGGAAGGAAATGAGTACTACCTTGTCCATCAAGGTGAAATTCAACGATATTTGGGTTCAAGAAGACAGCTAGAGAGAGGAAATAGTAGCAGTTTAGTTAGCTCGGGAAAAGGCCTTGCAGGACCTTTGGAAGAAGAGGAACCTTGCATGGGGATTCTGGACCGAATCCTTTTCTTCATTGGGGACTTGGAAGCTGCTTCGGTATGCGCCAAGCGAAGCCGGGTGTTGTAAATTGTTCTNAAAGAAAGCAAAATTTACAGCACAATTCTATTTCTATGAGCAGAGTGCAGTCTTAAGGTGGAGCAACAAAGGATAGAAAGTCCAAAGACATACATTGTAAAGAACGATGCAAACAAAGATGTTGAGAGGAATGCGGAAAAAGTTCATAATGGTGCTCCTCGCCTCCTCAGGAATGTATTGGGACCTCATCTTCACAATGGAAGGCCAGAATATACCCACGCAAGCCTCAAAGGTACAGAAGCCAATAAGCTGGATACAACCTGCAAATGAGATGCTTCCACCTTCCACCTTAGAAGGAGCTACCAAAAACTGTTCCAAATAAGCAAATTAGAGATGGCCATAACCAGAGAATTTAAGAGAAAGAAAAAAAGGAAACATGCAACCCACTACATACAGTAGTCACAATAGGAAGCCGAAGAGAGGCAGCAGAAACCACAAAAACAATCTGCATATAGCTCTCAACTCTTAATGATGTNCAATGCAAACAAAGATGTTGAGAGGAATGCAGAAAAAGTTCATAATGGTGCTCCTCGCCTCCTCAGGAATGTATTGCGACCTCATCTTCACAATGGAAGGCCAGAATATACCCACACAAGCCTCAAAGGTACAGAAGCCAATAAGCTGGATACAACCTGCAAATGAGATGCTTCCACCTTCCACCTTAGAAGGAGCTACCAAAAACTGTTCCAAATAAGCAAATTAGAGATGGCCATAACCAGAGAATTTAAGAGAAAGAAAAAAAGGAAACATGCAACCCACTACATACAGTAGTCACAATAGGAAGCCGAAGAGAGGCAGCAGAAACCACAAAAACAATCTGCATATAGCTCTCAACTCTTAATGATGTGCGGGCCATCAAGCGAGACGCAATAGTGCTTCCCAGGATTGAAGCCAGCATAAAAGTTGCAAATATAAAACCGTGGGGAATGTCCTCCTCATTTGGGCTCAAAGCAGGTGTCCAGAGGAACACAAAGGTGTACATTGACCCTTCAAAGAGGGATTGTATTGCACCAAACAATGCAATCTTCTCATCTGATCTACATAAACCATACTACAGGGTCAACAAGGAATACGAACAGGAATAAAAAAATGGACACTTAGCAAAATATATAGATTGACAATGAGAAAGCAGCCAAAAACCATTTAGGCACAAAAAAATCTGACCACCATTTAAAAAGAACACCAGTGAAAACCCAAGAAGAACGTCGCATCCTGGAGTGGTGATATAAGATATAGGTAGCCTGTTCTTTATTTCTGTCTTTCAAAATTAAAACTGAAGCCAATCACTGGGAAGAATCATTGAATGGTAAGTCCTTAATCACTGCTTTTATACTGTATGCAGTACCCAAGGGCTACTCCAGGAGTATTTTATGGGCTGTGAAAGTATTTGAGATCTTAAATAGGTCTCTACCTGAAGCAATGGCCACAGCAGCACCGTTGAACTGGGTAAGCAAGTCCTTGTTCTCTGAAGGGTCACCATAGTTCTCACCCCACGATGATGGTATAACTGCCATGCCAATGGCAAGAAAGCATGCAGTGGCGTCAAAGGGGGACACAGGCCCAAGACTCATGGTATCAACTAGCAGATTTCCGAACAACCCGGGCACAATAGCAACGAGACCATTGCTGAGAAATATTGGGAGAAAGTTATTGAGAGCCATTGTTGATCAAATCCTCTCTGCAGAAATAGGCAGAAAACAGGGTCAATGACAATGAAAATGAGGTAACTTCTATGGACAAACTACAAACTAGTTGTTGCCTAGAGTTGGCTTACACTTACACATCCAAAAACGGATGACAAAGAAAGAACCACAGCTTGACGGTTCAAGTCCTTCATCGCCAGGTCAGAAAGTATCAAAGGAAGGCAGCAGAAAAGAACAAGAAAAACAAAATGACAATATGACGAAAGGGAAAAGTTTGATGACAAGTGGGGATCCCTAGACACAATCTTTTGAGCATCCTATCCAAAATAGGAGCAAAATAAACAAGGGCAGAACGATCAAACAATTCCAGTTCTGTATTTCTGTAGCCAGTGTTTCTGGCAACTAGGGCGCAATTGAAAATTATTAGAGTCAAAATTATGGATATAGATCCAGTTTCACTAAGTAGTTTTCTTTTCTTATTTCTTGGAAGAATTTATGGGACTACTATAATCTGGTTACAAGAAAGAGAGCCCAATGAATCAGCAGACATCAGGACAACAAGATTAATCTAAAGAGTTTGCAAGATACAAGAAATTTAAGCAAAACTCTGGAAGCATTATGATGATGAAATAATTGCTTACCAATGCCATCCGTCATCAAAGTTCTAGAAAAGGCTCCAACAAGAAATAGGCTTTTAGAAAGAAAGGTCCCCCATTGTGCAAAAAAACTACAGATTATGTTCACACATAGGGAATCCAATTCTCAGATGCAATCATGCTCACACAAAATACCACAGTTACGCATCAGGATCAATAATACTGTTCATCAAAATTCAAATATGAACTGTAATCAATTCAATATGGATTCCTCTGTCACCAGTCACTAATACAAGTAAGAGCCTTTTACCTTGTTGTGTTCAGCCACAAGCCATGATTCAAAAGCTGAAAATAGGAGAGAAGTGGCAATACCACCCAAAATACGACCCAACATCAAAACTTTGTACTGATGAGAATGCTTGGTAATACAGGTTAATATGTAAGTAATGCAATAAGTCACGCATGCTCGTTTCCGACCCCTGAATTTAAGTTATGAACCATCAGAAAAACATGTGAATAAGCTATTTCGTCACAAAACAACGTGGGTACCTAAATCAGAAAAGAAAATCTCACCATTTGTCATCTATCCAACAATGGTGCCAAACAACATTGAAGATCCAAATCCTTCGATAAAGAGCTGCCCAATTTCTCCTTTCCCATAGCCATACATCATTCAATTGTTAAGACAACTTTCACTGTAGACAAAGGCTAGTATGGCTACCATGGTTTGCTCTTGAGAACAGCTACACCATGTGTACTGATGCATGTAAACACAAGCACTACGATACTTAAAGATGGTCAATATCACATGTTATGCCTAACAGGAGACAAAGTTATCCTATTGGAAGCATGCATCTGTCTTTGTTTTTTCAGTATTCCAGAACTTACTTTTTAAATTGTTGAACTCGACTGGTTTTTGCCTCTCCGTAGTCGGTGCAACCTAAAGGTGGTCGCCAAAAACAAGTAGATCATGGGGTGGCATTTGGTGTCCTCATCATCCAAAAGCTTGCAAATCTCTTCGCGCTCTCACCAAGAAAAGGCTATTACATCACCTAGAGGATGGTCATTGAATCATCACCACAGTGGTTGGTTGGCCCACGGCTCAGCCTCTCTCAAGCGACTATTCATGTGGGTATCCTATCAAGCACCAACAGTGCCCATTGTTGAATGCCTCAATCGGCTGCCGCAACTGCAAGGTNTCCACCTTAGAAGGAGCTACCAAAAACTGTTCCACATAAGCAAATTAGAGATGGCCATAACCAGAGAATTTAAGAGAGAGAAAAAAAGGAAACATGCAACCCACTACATACAGTAGTCACAATAGGAAGCAGAAGAGAGGCAGCAGAAACCACAAAAACAATCTGCATATAGCTCTCAACTCTTAGTGATGTGCGGGCCATCAAGCGAGACGCAATAGTGCTTCCCAGGATTGAAGCCAGCATAAAAGTTGCAAATATAAAACCGTGGGGAATGTNATTATCAAGGAAGTGGCTGTCACCACCACTTCTCATCCCCAAAACAAAGTTCTATGATGATCTTTTTGGGCAAAGAAAACTATCACCACCATATCCTTGCTTAAAACAAATCAAGTTTCTCACTGCTGCCGACTAACTGCTTTCTCTGTCACACCCCAACTCCAAGGGCATGACCAGCCGTGAACCATAGATCCATAACCTATGGAACATGTAAGCCTAACAATAAACTAATAATATAGTAGTGAAAAATAACATTAACACTAAATTGATCTCATGTCAATATGTTAAAGTCAACATACCTAAACTTGTTTACCCCAATTATCCAAATACAAGTAAAGAGGGCTATACAATATATGCTACGAAGGTCACAACACTATTAGTCCCCAATCAATTCCCTGAGTCCGCTATTGACACTCCAATCGTTTACCTAAAAAAATATTATTTTGAAAACATGAGCTAAAAAGCCCAGTGAATGGAAAGACATGCATATTCAAAGTGGCTGAAAAACATATTTAACATACGACATGTAAATCAAAGGTTTGGAAAAATAACTTCATCAAGATAATCAATTTCTCAAAAATAACACAATCGGATTCCAACAAGAAATCATACCACAATGGTGAATCATATCATAATGGTAGAGACTGTACGATATCCAATAATCGATAGGAACCAAATACCAAAAACAATAACTGATAATAAGAAAATACGTATGGCATATGATAGATAATCATAAACAAAGCTAGTAAAAACATTGTAACAGTAACAAATTGTATCATCATCTCATACTGGTAAGGACTTGTACGATATCTGAGAACCATACCAAATGCCAGAAGATCTCAAGGTTGGATCCAACACCGTACTTAGGGTCACCACGGGTTGCCACCCCAGAACTGTTCCCTAAGACAATCTGGTAAAAGTCACCAGGACGCACCAGAAACTGTTCCTTCAACCGTTGAGCACTAGGGTCACCTCAGCCTCCCCCAGGTCTATTCCCTAGTGGCCAGGGTCACCCGCACACAAAAAAATAATTTTCCTGCACTTTTAGTACCAAATGCCAGAATGTATCTCAGGGTTGGATCCAACATCGTACTTAGGGTCACCACGGGTTGTCGTTTGGGAACTGTTCCCTAAGACGATCCGGTGAAGGTCACCAGGATGCACCAGGCACTGTTCCTTCAACTATTGAGCATTAGAGTCACCTCAGCCTCCCCGGGTCTGTTCCCTAGTGGCCAGAGTCACCCGCACACAGAGGAATAATTTTCCTGGACTTTNCTCATACTGGTAAGGACTTGTACGATATCTGAGAACCATACCAAATGCCAGAAGATCTCAAGGTTGGATCCAACACCGTACTTAGGGTCACCAAGGGTTGCCACCCCAGAACTGTTCCCTAAGATAATCCGGTAAAGGTCACCAGGACGCACCAGAAACTGTTCCTTCAACCGTTGAGCACTAGGGTCACCTCAGCCTCCCCCAGGTCTATTCCCTAGTGGCCAGGGTCACCCGCACACAAAAAAATAATTTTCCTGCACTTTTAGTACCAAATGCCAGAATGTATCTCAGGGTTGGATCCAACATCGTACTTAGGGTCACCACGGGTTGTCGTTTGGGAACTGTTCCCTAAGACGATCCGGTGAAGGTCACCAGGATGCACCAGGCACTGTTCCTTCAACTATTGAGCATTAGAGTCACCTCAGCCTCCCCGGGTCTGTTCCCTAGTGGCCAGAGTCACCCGCACACAGAGGAATAATTTTCCTGGACTTTCAATCATAGTTTCATTCACTATCACAAAGTCTCACCATATAAACAAGTGATTGAGTCACAATACTTCACAAAAGAATTCATCAAAGTAAGGAGAATTGCATGCCACAAGTATTTAGGCACTTAGTAAAACATTTTATAAAGGTAGTAATGAACAAGCATTATATATTATTTTTAAAATGTTTAGGGATANAAAAATAATTTTCCTGCACTTTTAGTACCAAATGCCAGAATATATCTCAGGGTTGGATCCAACATCGTACTTAGGGTCACCACAGGTTGCCGCACGGGAACTGTTCCCTAAGACGATCCGGTGAAGGTAACTAGGAATTGTTCCTTTAACTGTTGAGCACTAGGGTCACCTCAGTCTCCCCCGGGTCTGTTCCCTAGTGGCCAGGGTCACCTGCACACAAAGGAATANTTCGGGAACTGTTCCCTAAGACGATCCGGTGAAGGTCAGCAGGATGCACCAGGCACTGTTCCTTCAACTATTGAGCATTAGAGTCACCTCAGCCTCCCCGGGTTTGTTCCCTAGTGGCCAGAGTCACCCGCACACAGAGGAATAATTTTCCTAGACTTTCAATCATAGTTTCATTCACTATTACAAAGTCTCACCATATAAACAAGCGATTGAGTCACAATACTTCACAAAAGAATTCATCAAAGTAAGGAGAATTGCATGCCACAAGTATTTAGGCACTTAGTTAAACATTTTATAAAGGTAGTAATGAACAAGCATTATATATTATTTTTAAAATGTTTAGGGATACGGAAAAAAATACATAGTATGTCAATCCACTCACCTCAAGTCCAGATGATAAGTCCAGATGATATGTTTCTTGAGTGTTGCTTGTTACCCGAAGTAGAGTGAGATGTTATTAATGCCTTTTCCCTTTTTCTCACAATTTTNCATAGTATGTCAATCCACTCACCTTAAGTCCAGATGATAAGTCCAGATGATATGTTTCTTGAGTGTTGCTTGTTACCCGAAGTAGAGTGAGATGTTATTAATGCCTTTTCCCTTTTTCTCACAATTTTCTTTGATAAAGTGCTCTTCCTTCCTTTTTCTCTCTTTTACTCTCTATTCTTTCTTAAAAGTATAAGACTACTTGTGCACTTGTATCTTAATCCAATTCCCAAATGCTCTATTTATAGACATCCTAGGATTATTCTAGAGAATATTGACATGTGACATTCTTAAGGGAGATTCTCTAGAATATTCTACCATCTCCTACATCCTTTTAGGTTTTAAGCTTATTTTGCACATGACAATTCCACTTTCCACAAGTATCTAGATTCATCTATAATATTCTAAAGTCTTCTTCAACCTTCTAAGTCCTTCTGGAATATTCTAAATCCATCTAAAACCTTCTAAAATATTCTAGACTTCTCTAGATTTTTTAGATTATTCTACGTTATTCTTGAACTTTCTAAAATCTTCTAGACTATTCTAGATTTTTCTAGAAACTTCTCCAATATNGCTTTAGTAGAAAGAGAAGGAGAACGAGCTGGAGAAAGAGGAGAAGTAGATGGACAAGGAAAAGAAGAAGGAAGAAAAAAGAGAAGGAACGGATAAGGAGAAAAAACGAGGAGAAAGAGGAGGGGAAAGAGGAGGAGAAAAGTCAAGAAGAAAACAAAAAGTAGAAGTAAAAGAAAGAGGAGAAGGAGTAGGAGAGAAGAAGATAGGGAAAAGGAGCANAAATTACATTCTCGGTCTAGCACTCCGGTGCCATATGCTCGGCACTAAGATGGTAAGACTCTCACCAAGATTTGTAGGCCTATCAATCCCAAGGTGCTCAATCCATCTGTCAAAGGCCAATGGGTGATCGGTTTATCACCAAAGATTGGCTCCACTTGTAGCAATCCCCAGACCCCCCAAGAACCCTTCAATGACAAGCACCATCAAAGGCCATTCTGTTGAGACATGGAATTCCACTTTGTCGTCTATATGANCACAGACCTCCCAAGAACCCTTCAATGACAAGCACCATCAAAGGCCATTTTGTTGAGACGTGGAATTCCACTTCGGCATCTATACGATTCAAATAGTGAAAATCCACACCAATCACTTAGATCATTTTATATTCACTCCGACACTATCCTTCGGGAAGTATTTTGAAATGCGGCATCTTCCTAGCAATCACCAAATAAACATGCTTGGCATCAGT